CCCCGCCCCTCCCCCCCCCCCCCCCCCCCCACACACACCACTTCTTTCCAGGGGCTCAGGCACTGGAAAACTCTAGGGTTTTTTGGACAGATAACTTAGCAGTTAGTTGCCAGAAGTAGTATATCTAATTCCTATACAAAAGAAAATTAAATAAATATTAGATCCATTCATATCTAATACCAGCATACTCTTGATCTTATGTAAAGTCACTTAAGGGAAACTGACTAGCTTTAAAAATTCTGTATATTATATTTATATACATATATTCTGACTTTGTTACTAACTCTGTGGCGTGAGAGAGCGAGAGTGCGTGAGCATGCCTAGGAATCCTGAGTATCTCAGTTCTAGGAGAGTAGTGGGATCTAGTGGGTCAGCAGGGGGAAGATACATTTGGCCTCTACATAAGAACATCAAAATGGCCACCCTGGGTCAGACCAATGGCCCATCTAGTCCAGTATCCTGTCTTCCAACAGTGGCCAATGTCCAGTGTGTCAGAAGGCATGAACAGAAAAGGCAATCATCATATGATCCATCTCCCTGTGACCCATTACCAGTTTCTGGCAAACAGAAGCTAGAGACACCATCCCTGCCAGTAGCCATTGATGTAGCTAACCTTCTGCAACTTATTTTGTTCTTATTGGAAACCTGTTATAGTTTGGGCCTTTCCACCGTCCCTTGGCAGAGTTCCACAGGCTGACCGTGAAATTATTTCTTTTGTTTGCTTTAAATCTGGTGCCTATGAATGTAATTGTCTGACCTTCTTGTGTTGTTAGTGAAGGAATAAACGTTTCCTTATTCAATTTCCCCATATCATTCATGATCGTCTAGACCTGTGAAATATCCCCCAATCCTTTAGTGATTTCTCTTCCAAGCTGAAAAGTTCATCTTTTAAAATCTCTCCTCATATGCAAGCTGTCACCTGCCTGCCTGGTGCGAAGGTTGCGGATTTCTTGAGGCTTCTAGATAGACTTATGTGTAGTGCTAGGGAGGAGCCGGTTGTCGTGGAACAGGAGGTGTGCACCAGTAGGAGGGAAGGGGCAGTTCAAGAGCTACACTTGATAACTTCTTGGCCAAACCAGTCAGGATCACCTGTTAGATGCTCCAAGATCTACCGGTAGATCCCAATCTATTGGCTGATGACCACTGATCTACAAATTTTGCCACCTCTCTACTTACTCAAGAAACCTTGGAAAAGGGGTAAGTTTAACAGCAGAGGTCCAAGAGCACACTACTGTTTATTACTACTCTTTTCCCCCCCTTTTATTTGGAACACCAACAATGTTTTCATGATCATCTTCAGTAATGATTCTTCAATTACTTGAATGACAAGTCTTTTGTCATCATGATCACCCTGCCTCCCTTCGTTTATAAACAAACTCCCTGCTCCAAAAGGCAAAGCTAGGAGCAGCACAACCTCTGTAGCAGTTAAGAGCTGTGTCTGGGGCTAGGGCATGCACTTTAAGCCAGGGGTGTCCAAACTTTTTTCAAAGAGGGCCAGATTTGATGAAGTGAACATGCGTGAGGGCCGACCATTTTGCCTGACATTCTTTGAACCATTAAAATTAAATGCAAATTAACTATTTTATGCAAAGTTTATTGCAAACGGCATACTTTTCATTTAGTCACATGGATGACAAATCTAAACAGGTGTTAAATCACTCTGCCTTTCATATCTGATGAAAAAAAAATCCAGGAAGCTGAAATATATGTCAGGAACATTGTAAAGTACATTACATATTATTGGTAATAAAGGTTGTCTGTCAACTTTTAAGTTCAAAAAATATGAACAGGAACATAACACCAAGTATACATGTTGTGTCCAAATATATTTATAACTGATTTAGACCAACTGACATTAACTGAGATTTTACAATGTATTCATCTCAATACATATGGATTCGTTGGGGGCCATAAAAGATAGATTTGCCAAATTACCTGTGGGGCCGTATTAAACCGGAACACGGGCCGCAATTGGCCCGCGGGCCGGACTTTGGACATGCCTGCAGTTTAAGCAGACCTCAGCTATGAAATCTCTGCTCCACCACCCTACCAGGTGCCAGCTTTGCTACCCTCTTAACTCCTTACTCCAACTCTACACTGGTGTCTTGCTCTCCCTAAGTCTATCTCCTGCTCGAATCCTTTAGTTGACTTTGGACTCTGCCTCAAGCTCCAACCCTTGGCTCCAGATCCTGGCTCCCAACTGACTACTAGGAATGACCATCAATGCTCAATACCCACAGTAACTATTAGTAATAAGCTAACTAACTTGTGAACATGAAAAAAAAAATCCATTCAGTTCTTTTCAGGGGCAGAAAAGGAATGCACAGAGAGAAATGACGACATCATCCTAGTGAGAGCATGCTCTTTCACCATCCGTCCCCCCCTCTAAAGACATGGCTTTTCTATGCAGTGTCACACTTCAGTGTCAGAGGTGCCAAATCCCATATTTAGAAATACAGACCCCCTCAAAGAATTCCCCATTACTCCAACTCTGTGCCTATCTGGATCATTTCTTGTATGCCAACAGCAACATTAAATCCTATTATCTTAGCATTTCATGACACCTGCCATCATAGGGCACATTTACACAAATCTTGTAACTGTAAAGTAGCAACCACATCATATCTTTTTAAATACTTTCTTTTTTTTCCTATTTTAAAACACTGAGTCAATATAAAACTTGATTTGGTGGAACCTTTATTGAAGTTACAATGCTAAAGAAATAATGTACGGGCCATCCTAAGGATGAAATGCAAATCTGGGAAGCATTTTATACAGAAAAAAACAACAACAAAAGAGTATCACCAAAGGATTCAACAATTGTATCAAATTATGATGATCTAATAAATATTAAAAACAAATACGATCATTTAAACAAGTACAGGCAGTCCCCGGGTTACGTACAAGATAGGGACTGTAGGTTTGTTCTTAAGTTGACTCTGTATGCAAGTCGGAACTGGCATCCAGATTCAGCCGCTGCTGAAACTGACCGCCAGTTCTGACTTACATACAGATTCAACTTAAGA